GGCTGTCTGCCATGCCTGTCATCCGGGCATAGCTGTGGAGATCACGGCTGAAACCGAGTAGGACAAAATCAATCAATCAATCAATCAATCAATCAGCTGGGATGATGGTACGTTGGTGGCAGGGGGGGGCGCCATCACAAGAGGATCGCAATCCAAGGTTCAAAGCCAACACACAATTTCGATAATGACCATATCTAGAACAAAGAAATTTGAAAAACACAATCAACAGAAGAGCATTCATAGACCCGCAGCAGGTGAAGGAATTTGAACGTGATTGAATATGCGCATACTCCTTGCTGCTGGAACACTTCACACACACCTCCGACTTCCATTTTTGCACACCACCACAATGATATATCTATATATATATATATATAGATATATATATTATATAACCTTTTCTTATCATCACCCTCTCCAATCACCAACTCAACCACCTACAACCACACAGAAATGTGCACAACATACCAAACCCACTACACACGCTGTGAGCGCAAAGGGTACGGGCATGGGCCCAAAGGCAATCTTCCCTGCACAGACGAATACATCGAAGAATGCAAAAATGCACGAAAGACTGATGAGACTTGTGCAGCGCCTGCTGTCAAATGCCGATGGATTGATTTTGAGTGCGGAAAACACGGAGGACCGAGTCCATATGAGCGAGAGAAATTGATTAGAGAGAGAAGGAGACAGGGGAAAAGGGAAGAGAAATGGGTGAAGAAGGAAGAAGCTAGAAGTGAGTGTGATGCGATGTTGTGTACAATACAGTAAAAGACGGTATTAGAGGTTTGCTTGGCTACTAGATATTCGCCCAACGGGTCACCATATCTCATAAATGCAGTAGTATGCTACTGAAAAGCGATATTTATATTTATCGTTGCAGAGATATGACAGGTTGCTGGGCTTTTACGCCTTTCCCTCATAATCCCTCTTCCAAATCTCCTTGAACTTCTCCTTATCCACAGCAAACTCCTCGAGGAAATCCCTCTCAAGGTCATGCGTACGTTTTCCCAGCAGCACCAGACTATGCAGCGGCTTGCCTAGATCCGCTTCACAAAGCTGTTCTAGTGTTCCTGCAACGATCTGCTGGTCTTCTGCTCCTACTCTTGCAACACCAACAGCCAGACTGTCTTTTGTGTATGCACCTTCCTTCTTCACATCCTCTTCAATTTCCAGCATCTGCTGCGCGCACTGTGCGACTGTCATGTACCGCGGTGGCTCATAGATCTTGCGTCCTCTGGCCATGTTCTCCAGACTCTGCTCCTTGACCTTGATATCTAGGAGCACAAGCGTGTGCAAGCCGATGGAGACATTCTCTTTTATGCGATCGTAGAAGGAGGCGGGCTTCCAGTTATCGAGGAAAAAGACCATGGATACGGTTTGTCCGAAGTTGTAGAGTTGTAGGCCAGTGGTGCCAATGGAAGTGAGAATGCTGGCGTTGGGAATCGAACGGGTGGGAATAGAGAGCTCGCGGGCACGGAGGACAAGGTCAGTGTGCGTAGTCGCGCTATGATAATGTTAGATATAATTGGAATGGCTGATAGAGGCTCCTTACCCGAATGGGTCCCCTACTACGAGGAATGCGACATCGAGCTTGTCGGCGTCCTTGAGGATATCGTCGCTCGAAGACTCGACCATTTCACGATCCGCAATGATGACTTCGCGGCCATAGAATGCTTCCTACTGCCGTGACAATTAGATTTCGAGCGCTTTATCTATTCACTTCGTCTTCAACTCACAAGCACATCCTTCTCCACCAGCAGTACCGCCGTATATGCCTCGAGATAGACGCGCTCGGCTTTCTTCACAATGTCCAAACCCTTGACAGTAATGTCCTTCTCATCCGCCAGGCCGAGACCCACGAGGTACAGCATTTTCGGCGATTCTCAACTTATTTGGTGAACAAATTATCGGTGATGGTGGGGTATGCGGCCAAATTCACAAAAAAGTTGGCGGGGCCCATTTTGGCTCGTAGGGCCGAGCCCGTTTCGGCATAGCGTTGTTGCATGAAGCCCAGCATCGTTTGAGATCACGCTAGCAGACCGCAAACCGCGTCGGCAACCTGGCCTTCATTCACGCCCACCGCCAAACATAGCGCCTGTTGTAATCTAATTTCTGTGCCATAGAACTTTGTTGATCGCGCGACACGTCTTTTATGATTTCTAGAGTCTTGGGTGCGGAAAGTCAGCCATCATGTCGGACAAGGATAAATTGGCCAAGTATCGGACGGAGATCCAGCAGGTTAGTTCATTTCATTTTATTGTCCATGTCATCTATCCATTTCGCTATTCCGCTTTCCTGGAGACTGCATGAGAGAAAGAGAAGGACATGTGAGACTAGGGTAAATGGCACTATCACCTACTTTGTTTATCCCTTCAGTGGATTCCTTTCCGGTTTGCGACAGGCTCCATATGCGCATCGTCGGAATATGGGCTGTCGCCTCGACTGGTAGTTTTTTTTTTTGAACTGTCTTTTGTTTTGTATCTCTTATAGAGAGGGTGATTCGAGGACAGGCGGCTCGCCCTTCTCTTACTTCGCATTTATCTGTGTGAACCAGGGGCAGCCTATTCTTGTTCACCTTCGTTCCGCCTGTCTTTCACCCTACCCAACATGTTCGTATCCGAGTTCTGGGTAAAGGTTATAGGCAGCATGCCAGAGCCAACCTTGTTCTTCACCCACTTCCTCAACTCAATCTCATATCCCCACCTACCTTGTAACAAGCCAGTATCATGGCCTCACCAGCATCATTCCCATCACCTCCCTTGCCATCAATGCCGCAAAGCCTATCGCCAGATGATCTATTCCCGTTGGAAATTGGCCTGGGCCTAACCGTTGAGCAGATGATGTTCGTCTCTGGTGAGACTGGCGAACCTTCACCCGAAACAACCACCTTGATCGAGTCGATCGTACAAGACCAAGTACAGCACATGTTGCGGGAATGCACCGCCCTTGCCACCCGCCGTGGTTCAAAATCCATCTCCACTGACGACCTATTCATGCTTATCCGGCACGACCGCGCCAAAATCTCGCGTCTCCGCCACTTCCTCCAGTGGAAGGATGTCCGACGCTCCGTCAAAGACTCCGATGACAAAGGCGGCGATGCAGGCGCCGACGTCGGAGCCGGAGACGCAGACATAGCTGTTGGCGTAGTAGGCGCAGGCGGACCTGGTGCCGCTCCCGTCGACGCCTCCAAGAAAGCCAAGCGAGCCAAAGTCGATCTCGTCTGGGACGTTCAATCCTTCTTTACCGAGTTCCCCCCTCAAAAAGACGACGTGGAAGACGAGGAAGAAGAGGAGATGAACTATGCAACCTTGCAGCGCCTCAAGAACGCAGACGAGCGGACAAAGAACATGACACGTGAGGAATACGTGCACTGGTCCGACTGCCGTCAAGCATCCTTTACCTACCGCAAGAGCAAGCGCTTCAAAGAATGGGCGGGATTCGGCCTCATCACCGATTCCAAACCCTCAGACGATATCATCGATATCCTGGGTTTCCTGACGTTTGAAATTGTCCAGACGCTTACCGAGGAGGCGCTCAAGGTCAAGGATGCAGAGGATCTGTACAAGAAAAATCACGGTGGCGAGCAGAATCGCCTCAAGAGGAAGCGCGAACGAGGCTTGTTTGATCCCCCAGAGGAGGCTAGGGAACCAGTGCAGCCAAGTCATGTGCAAGAGGCATACAGGAGGCTCCAGAGGGGCAACAACAAGGCTAAGGCTATGCTCAACTTTACACGGGCTGTGCATAGAAGCGCCCTGAAATTGGTGAGTAGCCAGAACCGCATCGGTACAAGCATTGATGCTAACTTTTCACAGATCTAAACACGAGGCAACACGTGGGAGTTGGGAGTCGATATGGCGTTTACATTGGGCGTTAGAGATTCATTGATACCCTGTGCAGGCAATAGGCGTGTATTGTGTTACTTGTGAAAGAAGCACTCGGGGGACTTTGTAATCGATCAATCTTATTAGTGTCACTTGCTTTGCCTGACCAGTAACATTCATTGAGCACATATAGCAATGGCATCATACCATCACAAAGGCCACAAACACATTCAATGGATCAAAGCAGACCAACTCCAAGTTTGACTACTGGTTTCTAATGCCGATGCTCATATCCCTTTTATTTTTGGTACAGTCATAGCATCGAAAATCAGAGAGGGGGCACCCTTGTCGGTCGAATATGCATGGAGAGAAGAGTCCTTCACAGACGTAACATGAAACATGACCGCATATGCCCAGATAAAAAGGAGATTGACGCCCTCCTTTAACCTTGAAAAGACCCACGCCAGGTGTTCGTCACGACATCCATTCTTTACTCCTCGTCGCCCAGCTGAGCCTGGCGCTTCTGCTGGATACGCTCCTGCCTCCTCTCGCGAGCCGCCTTGGTCTTCGCACGCTTGGCGTCCATCTCCTCCTTGATGACCCTCTCGCGGGCCTTCTCGGCCTTGGCCTTGTGGATCTGACATGTGCGTTAGTTACCGACCATGGAGCGGGGAATCGACATAGTCATGATGTCATGGTCAACATACGTGTTCAACGAGAGCACGCTTGTGCTTGAAGGTGTTACCCTTGGAGAGGAGGTAGAGCTCGTGGTAGAGGTGCTTGTCGATCTTGCCGGCGGCGCGGTACTTGACGAGGAGACGGCGGAGGACACGGAGACGGCGCATCCAGACGATTTGGCTGCACATCCGCATTAGTTAACGGTTCCCATTGTCCATGACATCCCAAAAAAACAATTCTTCGTCCTCATATCCGGCATTAAAGAGGCAACGTGATTGCATACCTTGGCATACGAGCGTCCTTGGTACCCTTCCTCTTACCGAAACCACGGTGTCGGCCAATTCGTCGGGCGGCGTTCAGCTCCCGGGCGCGGGCACGAGAGTGCATGGTGACGGGCTTGCGGATGATGAGACCATCCTGAACGAGCTTGCGGACAGTCTGGCGGGAGTTGGCGTTGGCGATTTCGCTGACCTCGTTGGGGTCAAGCCAGATCTTGCGCTTTCCGCAACCGACCACGGAGGCCGCGAGGCGCTTCTGAGTGCGGAGGTTGACCCTATGAAACACCCCATGTCAGTATTTTGATCATTTGTGCGGTTGTTGGCGACGGAGGAGGTGGTCGTCGGAAGAGGGGTTCGCCACTGCACAAGCGCCTCAGAGGCACGAATGCGAGGCGCCGAGTGTGCAGCGGGAACGGATTTGCTCTTCGAAGCAGTGTTGAAGGATATTTGTTCGGGATTCCTTACATTTTCGATGTTGTTGTCGTCCGCGGTCGTTGTCGACTTACCGTTGTTGAAGCTGAGAGGTGCGAGGTAATTTCCAACACAGGTGCGTGATCGCTTAGAGCGCCAAGGCCACCACGTGACCACTAGCCAAATTCCCACCAACACAACAGCGACTAGATGCTGAGCAGGTGTGTCGCATGCATGGCAATGGCTCTGCTAAGCCCATTGGATGTATGCACATCAACATGCCGGTAATGCTTGGGTGGCATTGTCATCTCTTCAACTAGACGAGTCTGGCAATCACGGGATGCATCCATGTTGTTCAAGTTACATACCGCGAGAGCATTGCATTGCGCCCACAGGCACCGCCACACTAGAGGTTCTAAGACAAGAGCCCTTGAATGCCTTTTGGGTATCACGTACTCTATTTCCGGTGGATAAATACCGATAAAACGGAATCTCTACGTCAAGATGTCTCTAGTCACCAATTGAACATCACGCAAGCACGTGCAAATAGTAACTTGCTGTTCGTATCCATGATGATTGGTGTGTAGCATTCGGTTGCCCTATCCCTAAACGCATATGGTACAACGTATGGGATGTCACATTATGAGTCATTTTGCCATCATCGCGCACTAGATCTGAAAGAACTCTTTGCACATGTCCAATTATTCTCGAGTACAAACTCATTGGTAATGACATTAGACGTGCTCAACACTTAGGGTACAAAGGGTTCATTAAGTAGCGAAACGATGCATTCTTACTGCAACTTTAGGTCCTCCTCGCTCAGGACACCATATAGTTTCTCAATCTCCTGTCCGATAACATTCAAATCGTGCGCGAGTTGTCCAGTCACCAGTGCTGTATTGAAGTTAGTGGCGATGATCAATTTCAAGTATAAACGGTAATGACCCACCATAGGCATACAACAACTCGTAATCTTCGTCGGTAGCAATGGTTTTGCCGAGATCCTGCTGTCGAAACTCGAAGACTCTGGCAAGCAACCGATCACGTGTGTGTTCGATGTTAGGTAGAACATCATTGAGCGGGTATGCTAGCTTCATAGAGGAGGCCATGACTGTTATTTGTCAGCGTTCAGCTCCCATCGTCACTTGGTATGAAGCTCACCTGAGAACAAATGGCTGATGCGCCAACTCAGCTCTGTCCACTCTTTCTTTGTATACCTCAGAGCTTCCTTCTCACCATCCGACGCTTTCAGCTCTCTTAGTATAACTACATTCATTGCGTGAAAACTGTCCAGTAGGCGACTCGTTGCACCAAGGATAATCTGGAAACTCTTGTTGGGGAAGGGGCCCCTAAGCTCAAACTCCGCAGCAGCCGCTACACGCAGTGTCTCCAAATGAGATAGATATCTCCGAAGTTCGATCTCCTCGCGTTCCGACATGAACGATTGTGTCCTGCTCGTGTGCTCATTGGATTCAAGAACAGTCTTAAGTGGCCCGCGTTTCCAGATCAATCCCATCTTGAGCCACAACAAAGACGTGCCTTTCTTGAGCTTACGGCGTGCGGAAATTGGCCAGATTATCCTTGTTACGATAATACCCCAAAGACAACCAACCATAACAGCAACCACTCGATGAGTTACAATCTCCCATATTTCAGGTGAGATGCCACCTTCGTCATCGTCATCTTCATCGTCCTTAACGGAAAGAGAGTAGGCGTAGAGCGCAGAAAGGTTGTACGTCAGCAAGATGAAACGGCCCATAGGTCCCTTGCCCTTGCCGACAATGATGTAGAAGCAGAACAGGGAAATGACCCAACCGAAAAAGCCCAGAAGAAGAGCATGTTCGTCAGCCGCGATCCATGCAGCAATTGCTAGCACAGCGCCCAGACAAGTACCAGCAAAACGCTGGTACCCTGTGGTGTTGGAAGCGCCTATGGTCATAGAGCAAACCAACATGTACGACAATAGACCCCACTCGCCACGCCACCGACTGTAATAGCCTCTTGTCGATTGAATAAAGGACCACATGGCCCAAAGGACTGCACCAATGCCAACCTTGACAGCATATTTGAGGTCGTCCCTTCTGAAGACGGCAAGTGACGTCCATATACGGTAGGATAGTGGCTGTTCGTTCTCTGGCTTGTACGGATCTCCACGCGTCGACTTCCTGTAAATAGGATTGTGAATCTCGCGCGAGCCACCCACTGTCTGTGGGTCTGTTTCTTGCATGAAATTAGCCACTTCGGAGTCGTCGCCAGAATTACTCTTCTTGTGCCAAGTCTTCCAAAATTTCAGCCAGTTGAAAGTTCTTTGCCGCGGATAGCGATTGACATTGGCTTTGAGCTCCTCAAGAATGTCAAGGAACCCGACCATATCTTCAGCAAAATCAATCAAGGACGAACTGAAATACCCGCAGCTTGCGGCAACTTCTTCAAAGTCGGCTGCAACTGCTGCTGAACTTGTCCTATTTGGAATCTTGCTCGTGTAGATACCAGAAAGAGCCTCTCGTCGTGCGTCCGCGAAGAGAGCCTTCGCGTCAACCAGGCTGTGACGGAAGTGTTCATTGATAGCCATGTTGTACTCTGGTCCAGGTCCAAACGGTAATTCCGAAAGTACTTCACGTAGGGTGTATGCAAGCGATTTCTACTTTAATTAGCAGTGCAAGGAAAACTGAGAGTTATGGACTCACCATCGGTGGGCCCAACTGAGCTATGAAGACGGAAAAAATGTCAGCAGGCGTCAGGTTCGACTTTGAAAGATTGATAGATCTGGCCAGCATTTGATTTACTGGATTGGATTCATCGTCTGATTCAGCAGCTGAGCAGATTGCGGACGCTTCGGAGCTTTCTGGCAGTTCATCGATAGAGGCGAGGATGCTGCCCCGCCTATCTGAATGCCTCAGCGTGGGAGAAATCAGCTGAGGACTTTGCGACATGGCCTGTTCTGAGAAGATTGAAGAAGTGACCGTTCCATTAGTAGGTATAGGTTGAGAAGTTACCTCACCAGGCGCCGGCTGAGCAAGTAACGTAAACTGCGTCTCGGCAGCACTTCGCAATCCACCCAGACTCTGCATCAGCGTCTCAACACATTTGACCAGCCTTGCGTTGATCTTGTACTCTGCTTCAGTGCCCAACGCATAGTGCTCAAACTTAGCTTCTCCAAGATTCTTAACCAGGGCTTTGAACGTCGTTTGCAGCCGATCTGAAGCTTTGACATACGAGTCGCTCTTGAGGTCTTGCTCAGACCCGGAGAGAAAACTGAGCGCAATGCCGTTTAGCATCTCTGCCATGGCATCAGTAGATTTGATAAAAGTATCGCGGAATTCGCTGCGCGCTGACGTTGGCTTTACTAGAAGGGATACAGCTGTTGATGCGGCACAACCCATGATGACCATCTTCAAGACCTGCCAGATTTTAACGTAGGAGAACGTAGCAGCCTGGACAGCCCCCTCTTTGGTCAAAATGGTGATGAGGGCAAGGGAAGTCAGAGAGCAGGCCACATTGACTAGCGGATTGCCGAGCCTTTGTTTTGTCCATCCAACCAGCCCGAGACCACCTCCACAGAAGACAATGAGCACTATGACATGGCCAACTACTAGAAGGTCGTTGTTCCCAAAGTAGGCCGACACAGCCATACTGGAGAAGGAGACAACCGCAGCATAAAGAAAGGCGGCAAAGGCAAGCATGACAGCCTCAAGCATGCTACCAGCTGAGCGCGCTGGATGGAAGTAGACGGTGATTGTCGCAACGATGTGTTTGCCGTCGTTCCTACCCAACAGCGCAGCTATGAAGGGGACAAAGGTAGCCAGCGAGCCGAGTACATAGGCCATAGAGCATTTCAGGATGCCAACACCGGTTTGGCTCGTCGCATATGCATAGCCTTGCCGAAACTTGTACTTGATCATCTCGACAAGCAGCTCTTTCCTGCTCATCTCACGGTATCTCTCAGTTTCGAACTGGCCGGGAGCGAGGAGAATCTCGGCGGATCGTGTGCGGCGATGTCGAGATCTGCGCAGGGTGAAGGCCTTCTTGACGCGTTCGCCAGTCCTCGGCTGGATCATTGTCGCTGACCGCATCTGTAGCCTATGGTGAGCTATGCATGTGTGCCTAAAGCCCCAAGACGCGACGACTTACACTGGGTCGCATGAAGCGGCGCTGCGCCGGGCTCTGCGAAGTCTCGCTTTCCATGGTGAGCATGACGTGTCCTAGAGCCCGTTTGAAGGACTAGAGTATGGCGAGAAGCAGCATGGAATCTGGCGCTGTGCAGGCGTTGCAAGCGTTGTTGGTGGTGAACCCTGCCGATGCGCAGATGCGATGACGCTGGCGCTAAGGCCGCCAGAGCTACGCGCGTGCTTGTCCATGTACATCTGCGCACGACCTCTGCTCGTGGCATGACGTGGTGAGATGCCCGCTGAGGGTCATGTCTCCATAGTGATAGTGCGCTACCATTCCACTCAGGCGGATACTGTTTAAGAGCTGCCAACCCAGGGGGGCCCACTGTAGGAGACACTCCCGCTCCGATTGGCGCAGGTACCCTTCACTAGCGCCCTCTTACCTAACTTCGTATGACCTTTTATACTTTTGTCTCTAGGAAATATACTCCTCAAGCAGAAGCCTAACCCAGTCGACTCACACTCTGTCATGGACGAAGAAGAGGACATCGACATAGCTGCAGCTATGGGCTTCTCCTCGTTTGGGGGAACCAAAAAGCGAAAATTCGACCATGAAAACTCACCAAAGGCAAAAGCCGATGCAAGCGGTGCAAACTCCACCAAACTCGGGGTTAGAACGAAGAAAGTCGCCAGCGGAGAAGCAAATGAGCCTGAAGCCTCCGAGTCAAAGAAGGCCCCGGTAACAGATTCTGGTCTTGCCAGCTTCCTAGCACGTGGCCAAACCCTTCCGGAAATTCCCCTTGGCGCTGCGAATGGCCCTGCTCCGAACGATCAGTCTGCAATGGAAACTATGTCGTTTGGTGGACCTCCCGTTTCGAGAGCAGAACTAAATGCGCTTCGTAATGGAGTTCAGAACGAGAACGGGGACACGGCCTATTTTCTCCCAAGCTTCGTTGAGGACCCTTGGGCCAAGCTCGGAAAAGGCAACAGTGGATGATGTAAGTTTGCAGACTTTGAACAATATTGGTGGTTACTGATATGTACACACAGAATGTCAAATTACTTGACAAATCAGATCGCTGGCAAGATTGCACCATAGATTTGTGGTATCTTATTGAAGATATTGAATTTGCCATGGTGTTCTACCGAATATTGTTGTATAGCCACTAGGATCTAAAAGCGACCAAAAGGCGGTGCTTCATGGGTGCTTGCGCACATCGACGTATTCAGGTTACTGCGCTTGTGTCAAGACTAGTGTATATCGCACATCCATCAGGGCAGTGCGAGTTATGGCCGTGTTTTGTTAGGCTGAAAAAAGTTGAAATCATTTGTAATGTAGGAAATGGTTGAAAGACATTGTCGAGAACTGATTGGCATTAGCTCATCGGCAAATCGACCAAACAAGTAGTTGTGTAATTCAAGAGCTGTCGAATAGTATATCAATCCGATCCGGCAGTGGTCGCTGAGAGCTACAAGTCGCAATCATTGGGAAGACATTACCACTAGTATTTCCTGTCCGACACCACTCGCTGACGAGCAATTGGAGAGCACAATCAGCGCCGTCAGAACGTCCGAACAAATCGTACATGTGTGATTGATACAACCTGCACCTAGAGTTTGTGGAACCCAAAATTCAATCAGACGGCAGTAGGAAGTGAGAGATGTTGCTGCCTGGTGCCGCGCAAAGTGTTGCACACTCAATCTAGAAGCACACGAGATCAGACCGGACTCAAGCTCTTGGTTGAGTCAAATTCAGGTTCTCGGCCCCCGGGTAAGTGTCCATGTAAGGCAGATGCTGGGGCGAGGGGCACAAAGGTGACCTAAAAGTAGCTGCCATGCGCAACTCACATGGACGGCATTGACAGCCGTGTCATACGATTGGCTTGTTCCGCGCCGTTGAAGCGCCAGTGTAACGCCTTCCATGGACAAAGGGCTCGGATAGTACTATGTACAAGGACATGGCATGCATACCAAAGCCGGTGGTCCTGGGAAGAGCGACGAGCTAGATGGGATTCCTCACCGCCACTTATTGCCGTGCTTGGAGAGCAGTTGACTTGCAGCATGGGAACGTCTGGGGAATGTTCGTGTGAGAAGCAGTACGAGGTTACGCAGAGCAGACATGGTGCCCAAGGGCTCGAGGCATTGGAGCGCCAAGGTGGAGGTGCAGCAAGGTGCATTGGCCGGGTTGGGTTGCTGCTCGCAAGCATGACGCACCGCACCACCGAGGGGCGGACTGTTAGTTCGGCGGGGCTTTGCTAGTCCCGCATCCTTCTCCACGACCTTCCATGACCATGACTACACGAAAAAAAACGATCTCGTCGTCCGGTACACGCCCTTTACCAATTGCCCGCCACGTTCATACGCGCAATCGTCTCGTCAAGCTTCTTTGGGCGCATGCCGCCACTGGTGTCATGCGCTGTCTGATCCTTTGCATCCCCCCTCCAGATTGCATGCTCAATGGCGCTGGCAGCTGTCGAGCCAGCGCATCAATTTGACAACACTTAGCATGCCCGTCCGGCAGCCTACCCATGCATGTACACTTCTCCACCGCCGCTGCTTTTACATGGCGTCTGCGTCTGCGTCTGCTGCGCTTACTCTGCCCCGCTGCCTTTAGCAATGCCTTGGTGCCGGCCATAGACGGCACTGCCTCCAGAATCGCAACTTTTTGCCATTGCAAGCCAATTCGCTCCCCGACTCTTTTGTGCCGGTTGGAGCTGAGGCCACTTGTCACTAGTTCCTTGTACGGGCCAATTGGCATCTCAAGCATTCACTATCGCCCCGAGGTATCGTGGATCGGCTGCGGCCCACGTCCAAGAGCCACCGTCCAGCCCAGTCTAAATGACGCTTTACAATCCGGCACCAGCGGGAACCGTTCTCAGTGGATGTAATCCTATGCAGCTTTATCACCATAACGGCGGGGTTGCGGCCGTCACTCGGCATGAAGGGGTCAGAGCCATGCCCCGTTGACCATGATGCTCCTAGCATGCCTGCAATGGAAAGGTATAAAAAGGGCTCGTTTTGCTGGAATTTGGTCTGATCTTTCTGATTCTCTATTCACTTTTCTGAGGATATTGTTATACCTTTGTCACATCTGGATCACTGTCTTGGCTTCCCACTCCGACACCTTGACCAAACCCCAACACTATCTAACCGCTTGCACTCTTCGCCAATACACTACTCTACACACCATTCCAGCATACAGAGGAATATAGTATTATCCAAAATGGCCTCTTCACACTCCTTCTACAGTCTTCCTCAAGCATCCTACCCAATCAACATGCCACAAAAGCCCGGATTTTTCTTCCCGGCTCAACAACATGGTTATGGACGCGTGTCAGGATCACCACCCGAGGCTGCAAACAGCGTTACGACATCTGGTGTACCGTCGTACGAGCCGTCATCCACCTCTAGCAACTATGCTGGCAGTGCAAGCGATTATGAATCCACTAGCGGCGCCGCCAGCGTGGATCTCCTCGATTATATGGGTCGTCGTGTGAACGGCTCCTTCGATCCAATGCCACTAGATCGCAGTCTTGCAAAGCAAGCACAAACGTAAGTTTCTTTCTATCAGTGAATTCTGAATCACCCGACTGCGCCTAAAGTCGTGTAACTGACATTGTACGCAGGTCCGGTGAACTGAATGCTAAGCAGCGCGAGCTTTCTGAGCTACAAGCACTGGCTCAACGCAGATTGGCTGGTGCTCGCATGAGCTTTGCAGACGGAATGAAGGCTGCGAAGGATGTACAGAAAGATTTGCAGTGGACTCAGAAGCGAGTCGAGTAGGTTTACACTGACAGCCAACTTCAATCGCCGAACTAACATCTCTGACAGCTCACTGAACAACCGAGCAGCACGCAAGTACCCAGAGCAGTTCCGCACCGCACAAAGCCGGTATCCGGCACCAGTCGACTTCTAAATCAATTCGACACCTTTCAAATTTCGCTTACCGAACTGTGGATGACACCAATATACGATTTTCGGTTTTTCCAAACTATGGGCGGCATTCGGTCACTTTACTATTCCCCAGCGCTTTACCGGTTTTCTCTATTTTCAAAAAATGTTCAAACACCTTTTTCGCGATGTTCGAATTCCAGGAACAAGCTCGACGTTGCGACCTGTCGTTCCCAATTTCCGCTCCACTGTGCTCCACCCTCGGCAGCCGGCCTCGCTGCTTTTAGCGTCCCACACACCAGCTTTTCTTTTTCAGGAATTGTGACGCGGTTCGGCCCGTTGCCTGATGCAAGTGCTACGCGCCTGCTGACAGCTAGCGAACGAATCGCGGCTTTCGGATGGCGTTTGGATCAGGAACGGGGCGGGTAGCTGACGTATCTCCTAGAGGACGGTCGCTTCGCTAGGTGCAGAGGGGGAGCTGGTGAGCTTGCTCATTCGCTTAGAGCTGAAAAATAGCGCCTCGATCCATCCAGGCGGTTTCTGGGTGGCGGGAAAGCGCCTGTTTCATATTCCTTTGTCTTCTTGGGCTGGGGACCGGTTGTGTTTAGGTTGGCGTCATGATGATATCGGGACTTTTTGGTTAACACTGGGGTGAATAGCCACGGGGGTGTTCCTTGATACGGCCTTTGTAGTTTTTGAATCTTAGTCAAATCGTTGATGTAACAGCTCATGTGATGAATATAGGAAGCCCTTCCCTGTGGGGCAATCAGTCTACCTAAGACATGTGGAGCGACATACCATTCCATTCCAGTCGTAGCGTGACTGGATGAGACGCACTGTTATAGTATATTCTGCTTTGTGAAAGTGATGAGGGTCGTATATGTACATATGTACGTAGTCGTCAACCCCCCGAGGGGCTGGATATGCAACGTGCCCACGCATGCATGCACAAGCAATTCGTGCCATGACCACCCCCCCACACACAGTCAAACCCGGCACCTGCCCTACCAATAGAACCCGCAACCCCCCACGTTTATACATGCATACACGAAAAGGAAAATAAACGTCAAGAAGACCGGGTACCACCTCGGAGATTATCAAGCCCGACACTCTCCCCCACCCCCAACAACAACCAAGGCAAACTCTAGTGGAGATGTATGAAAGCTTGAAAGTCAAATCTTGACTATATTTTCCAGAACAGAATATCAAACATATTCCATGAAGAAGAAAAAATCAACCCCTCTACACCCTTCCTCTTCATAGCGAGCACAAGAGGGGGGGGGCAATGCTGTGAAGTATCCTTCCCTCACGATACCCCCCTTCCGAGCCTTCCCAACACCACTACACGCCGTAATTCTTCGCCTATGTACATAATTTCCATGGTTAAACCCTTGCCACATTTTCCCTTACTCCCCCCTTTATTTTTCTCTCACTAAACACAAAGCAAGGGGTGGTGAAGAGTGAGCTACTTGTAACCAGGCAGCGGAAGCAAAGCGGCCAAAGTACGACGTCAGCATTTTTTTTCTGGGGTGAAGCCTTAAAAAGTGTAGGTGGGGCGAAGAAGGGCCCCCCTTTGTAACCCTACTATTGTACCTTGTGAGCTGAGTTTACAGAACTTGATGGGAGAGGTATAAAGGGATAGAAGAAGAGTTGTGAAGCTTTGTTGTTCGAAATAAGAGGGATAAAGAGAGGATGATGTGTAGTAGTGTATCTCGTATGTAGTACGACATGGAAAACCCTCAGGGGTCAAGGGGAACCGCATGTCAGATGTGAGGTTATCGAAAAATGGCCTGACAGTGACGGAACTCGGCTTTTTCGGGAACGAACGGTAACAAGAGTAAGGGGTGGGACCGGGTGAGGTGGGTGGGTGTAGGGGGTATGTAGGTAGTGCAATGTTGTACAATTTCGGGAGTTCTTTCGGGTGCAGTGGACGAAAATTGAAGGGGGACTAGGTGAGTATGGCGATTTTGGCTGTCAGGTAATGTTTGACATGAAATCTATGGGCTCTACAAATATGAACTAGCCTAGCTCTACCGTTTATAGATGGCTACGACCAAACGTGCCATGGATGACCGCGACAAGACGTACCATGTTTGACCGCGGGTATGCATTGTGGTGTAGTATCGCGTCATCAGACTGCGGATATGTATTGTGATTTCCTTTCGTATATAGATAGCCACCTTCTTCTATTAATTCCTTGGCAGCGATTGGATTTCAGCTTTGCTCTACCAGCTTGATTGCGGGTCGCCCCTTGATCTATTGAGCTCAATCACGTATCGTGCCACAACATGCTAAATGTAAATGCTACGCATGAAACAACCCGAAAGCATTGTTTAGCCCTCTCCATGTGGCTGCAATCCAACTAAAAAGCCTTGTTCGCCGCAATCGCACTTGACATGTATCGGGCGAATCGGCCAGGGACATCCTGATCCTGCTTCGCAGTTTCGATACCACTAAGGATGTTGTCAATGCCCACCCCGATCTCCTTGCTTCCAGTAATCTCCTCAATCTCACTGATAGCACGTCGCTGGTCTGACTCTGAGAAGGCGCCGGATTCACTGAGAACATTTGCGAGTTCGCCTTGAGTGTTGACATTGGGCACAGCAATATCAGCTTTGAAGCGAGCAAAAAGCTCAAGCTGAACAAGCACTGAACGTTGAGTTGTGGTGGCAAACACTAGCAAGCGGCGATTCTGAAGTTGTTAGCTTGGTTACTTACATTTCACCTTTTGCAGCGACTTACCTTTGGTGGCACCTTGCCAAGAAGCACCTTCAACGCAGACAAAACAGTGTTGCTAAACCTAGGACCAATCGGTACCCATTCAAGCATCGACTCAATGGAATCGAGAACTATGATACTCAACGGACTCTTGTAGGCATCCCTGAATGTCTTATCAAGATGCTGTACTTTTTGCGACTCGCTATAACCAATCATGTCTTCAGCCGAAATCAGTTTGATAAAGGGGTAGCCCGAATCCATTGCCATCTTGGCAGCCAATGCAGTCTTTCCAGAGCCAGGCGGCCCGTGCAAAAGGACAGGTAGCAATGGGGTAGACGCCGAATTTCTGACTTGATTGATGTACAGACGCCCATCTTCCAAGATATCCCTGATGAAGGGCGAAAAGTGGATGATGCCGCGCATCACTCGTTTGCCGAGTTCTTCTTCGGCAACACCAAACAACGGCTTCACGTCGTCAAGTGCGGTTATGAAGTCCTGACGCATGACCCTCATATTCTCAACATCCGCCTTGACTGTAGTACCACCCTGAAGATGACGACCAAAGGCATACGATGTTGCTGCCTTGACCAGACCATTCAGCTCCGCTCCGGAAAAGTTCTTGGTAAGTTTTGCTAACTCTTCAACGTCAACGTCCGATTCCAAGACGTTGTTCTTTCGCATCTTGGTGGTGTGAATCTTCAGGATCTGGGCGCGGCCCGATTCATCAGGCAACGAAATCTCCAAATGGACCTCGAGACGACCAGGGCGCAAGAGAGCCTCATCAATCATGTCCATTCGGTTCGTCATACCGATGAGAAGAATGTTGTTCAATTGCTCCACACCATCCAACTTGGACAGCAGTTGGTTGACGACACTGTCACCCACGCCGGTGCCACCGCCACCACCAGACCCTCTCTGCTTGCAAACAGCATCGAGTTCGTCGAAAATGATGATGTGAAGTCCACTCTCGTCGCCCTTTTCCTTTTGTTCTTTCTCTGCATCTGCGAACATCTTCCGGATATTCTCTTCGGACGCTCCGACATACTTGTTCAAAACTTCGGGACCGTTGATGACCTTGGGCTCACGAGCATTGAGCATCTTTCCAATTTGCCTCGCCATCAGGGTTTTACCCGTTCCAGGAGGGCCATACAATAGCAAACCACGCACATGGTTGATACCTAGCCTCTCCACGACATTAGGAGGGAAGATGCGGGAAGCAAAAGCTCTTCGGAAAATGGCACTGAACTCAGTATCCAGTCCACCAATGCCCATATCCTCGAACTTGAAACCTGGCTGAATGATGGAGTTTGCTGCTGCGCGCTTCGCCGACGCTTTGATTTTGAGCTCTGACCGAGCATCCTTGAAAAAGTCGACCTGAGTGTGTCTTGTAAGGATACCGCGAGCTCGTGGATCAGTGATGGGGGGCATATCAGTCTCCTCCTTCTCCATGGATAAATCTGCAAGCTGTACCGTCCGGACAGATAATCTGAGGGGTATGTTTTTTACATCGAGAAGCAGTTGTTGGCCAGGCGCTAGGATTTGGTTCTCGAAGCTCTTCTTGAAAAACGTGGCGAGCTCGTCTTGATCATAGGGTGTATCTGTCGTCTTTCTTGCCGCGAATCCGACTTCGACCTCGAGCGACCCCAAATATGATTTTCCTTGACTTTGACTAAAGTGATCATACTGCGCCACCGTAACTACCTCCTGAGGACCAAGAGATATGCCGGCCCATGTTCTTTGTGCGTCGGTAAGACCAATTTCGCCCGGCGAGCATCCTTGTGTAGGTCGTGCAGAGAGGGCAAAGTTGCCGTTGACGAGAATGTAGATATCGGAGCCGTCGGGGTTTGGTTGGAAGTCCTGAGGGGACACTGCGACCCTGTATATCTGTTAGGATACGGCATATAAAAGTTGAACCCTCCCTCAGTATACATACAGATTGCCAAAGGCATAAGCGTTGCCTCCTGGGCTCTTGATTGGGCGCAATTGCCTCACAGGTCCGCCGCCGCCGCCTTGCCTCGCAGGCACAGGCATACGTTGAGTAGCGGGCGGAGGGGCGCCGCCGTATCCAGCCATTCTGGGGTCGTAGTTACGTGGTGGCTGCTGTTGTGGGGGTTGTTGTGGCTGTCCGTAGCCTTCGTTGCGCGGTGGAGGTCGTGGAGAGCTTCCAGGAAGACCGGGTACTCGATCTCGGTTGAACATTTTGCGACGAGAGTAACGATGAAGGATGAGATAGGTTTAAGTAGGTACTACTAGAGTATGGCCACGTATTTTCAGTGCACGAAGGCAACAGCACTTGCTACCCAAGCT